AAGTCTCTGGTTTGATTCCTAGCTCCTTGATCCATTTTGAGTTAACTTTTGTGCATGGTAAGAGAAAGGGATTCAGTTTCATTTTGTTGCATATGGATTTCCAGTTCTCCCGGCACCATTTGTTGAAAATGCTATCCTTTCTCCATTGCATGCTCATGTATGATGTTGTGAGGAGAAAAAAATAAAAATAAAAGAAGTGTGTCACATTAGATTGGGTGAGAGATGTGATAGGAGGGGAGGGGAGGGGAAGGGGGGATAGGAAGGGCAGCAGAATAAAATAGACATTATTATTGCTGTATGTATATAGGTGACTGTATGACTAATGTGGTTCTGCAACCTGTACAATCAGAAAAATGAGAAATTATACCCCATTTGATTCAAATGTATGAATTGTCAAGATCATTGTACTGTCATGTGTAACTAATAAAAAATAAATTAATTAATAAAAAATAATAATTTTTCATATTGATCACATAGAAATGATACATTTTGTATGGATTAGGTTAAATAAAGTGTATGTTTACATTTTTAATAAATAAATAAATAAATAATGTTTTAAAATTCTGGATGAATACTAAAGCCATATTTTAAAAATAAGTTTCTGGGTTGGGGATGTAGTGCAGTAGTAAAAGCACTTGCCTAGCATGTGTGGGGCCCTGGGTTCAACATCCAGTATCATAAAAATAATAAATACAAGGCGGGTACAGTAACACATGCCTGACGTGACTGAGGTTGAGGCAGGAGGATTGCCAGCCTCAGCAATTTAGTGAGGTGCTAAGCAACTCAGTGAGACCCTGTCTCTAAATAAAATACAAAATAGGGATGGGGATGTGGCTCAGTGGTTGAGTGCCCCTGAGTTCAATCCCCGATACAAAAAAATAAAATAAAGTTAAAAATACATAAATAAATAATAAACGTGTTTATTCTGTTTCCTCTTTGACTAAGGCTATGGTAGCAATTGTTTTCCCACCAACTGCTATATTTAAGTAAAAATTCATTAAATTTAGTTATTTTTAAAGTTGTTGTGTTAGTGATCAGATACCCATGAAAAACAATTTAGAGAAGAAAAAGTTTAATTTTAGGCTCAGTTTCAGAGGTCTCAATTCATGGTGGGCCAGCTTCATCACTCTGGGCCCAAGATGAGGCAGAACATCATGGTGGAAGGGTGTGGCAGAGGAAAGCTGCTTTCCTCATGAAAACAAAATCAGAGCAAGTGAGATGCCTGGAATGAAATATAAACCCCAAAGGTATGCCTGTGATTTAACTTCCTCCAGCCATGCCTATCCTTACCACAGTTCAATTTATCAAATGAATTAAACCTCTGATTAGGTCACAGCTCTCATAATCTAATCATTTTATCTCCTGCATTAACCCAGGGGTTTTAGGGGGAAACCTCATATTCAAACCATAACAGTGGTTGATAAATTAAAAATTGTTACATTCTTTTAAAATAAAGAGAAAGGGAGAAATGTGGAAAAAGGAAAGTCATAGGATTGCATAGTAGCAAGAGATATATTGTCTTTTTCACTTATGTAGAAAACAGAAGATAGACACAGAAACTGAGATTTAGGTATTACTCATGAATACAATATCTTTGGTTTATTAAACAATTATGGGGCCTATGATGTAGTTCAGTGGTAGAGCTTTTGCCTAGCTTGTCCACACAGTAAACAACAAAGCAGTTATGTGGCTTGTACTGTATTAAGCATTTTACATTCATTATCTCATTTAATCTTTACAACTCCTCTATAGGGTGTGGATTTATTATTATTCTTACTTTATAGCCAGGAAACAGACCTAAAGATTCTAACTTGCCTAAGAACACTCAGTTTGCAAGCAGCTCCAATATGACTTTCAAGTCAACAGCAATGCCTCACTGCCTCTCTGGGGAGCTCCATGTGGATGAGACTGATGTTTGTTAAGTAGCTTTATTAAAGTTTGTCTTTCAATTTATAAAATACCTTAGAAACTTTCTCAGAAATTTGGGGGCTGATGATGTATCTCACTGATAGAGTCCTTGCCTATCAAGCACAAGGCCCTGGCTTTGATCCCCCAGCACAAAAAGAAAAAAAGAAAGAGAAGAAAAAAATTATAAAATTTCAAATTATAAAATGCATTGTGGCTGAGAATATAGCCCAGAAGTAGAGTGCTTACCTAGCAAGTGGGAAGTACTGAGTTCAGTTCCCAGCACCACACACAAAAAATAAATAAATAAATAAATAAATAAATATAAACTTAAAAATGTATAAAATACTTAGATGTGGGTAGCTCATGCCCATTATCCTAGTCACCTAGGAAGCAGAGGCAGGAGGATTCCAGGTGCAGGGCCAGCCTCGGTAGCTTAGTGAGACCCTGTCTCATAAAGGGTAGAGGACTGGGCTTCAGTTGTAAAGCACACTGGGTTCAATCCCCAGTACCAAAAAAATAAAAATAAAGAAGTAGTTTATAAAATACTTAGAAACTCTTGTCTTAGAATACCTCTATATCACTCATTAGAAAAGAAAACTAAGATCTAAAGATGTTGAGTAGTTTGAATCCAAGTTAATTAATCTAAAACATTAATGCAGTCTTCCATGTTTGAAAGACTGGAATTAATTTATTTGAGAAGTTTTTTTTATCAATTTATAAATCTTGACAATATTGTCAGATATGTTGTTAATACAAGTCACTACAACTAATTTATGAGGTTGTTTGGATAGGTTTTCATTCAGTCTTCTTTTGTAATACAATTGCCTATTTTTAAAAATTTGTTTTAAATTTTTTTTATTTGTTCTAATTAGTTATACATGACAGAAGAATGTATTTCATTTCATTGTACACAAATGGAGTACAACTTTTCATTTTTCTGGTTGTACACGACATAGAATTGCATCATTATGCAATCATACATGTACCTAGGGTAGTGATGTCTGTCTCATTCCACCATCTTTCCTACCCCCATGTCCCCTTCCCTCTACCTCCTTTCCTTTGTCCAATCCACAATTCCTCCATTCTTCCCATGCTCCCTCCCCCGATTATGGATCTGCATTCACTTATCAGAGAGAACATTTGGCCTTCAGTTTTTTGGGGTTGGCTTACTTTGCTTAGCATCATATTCTCCAACTCCATCCGTTTACCTACAAATGCCATAATTTCATTCTCTTTTAATGCTGAGTAATACTCCATTGTGGATATATATGTAACACAGTTACAATTGCCTATTTTTAAGAAAAGTAAAATTTTTCTGGTGTTGTCTTTATCATTTTTATATGCATTAATAAGAACTTCTGTATTATTTTTTTAATATTTATTTTTTAGTTGTGCTTGGACACAATACCTTTATTTTTATGTGGTGCTGAGGATTGAACCCAAGGCTTCACATGTGCTCTACCACTGAGCTACAACACAATTTTTTCTGAAATTGTGTTTTTCAGTATTTTATTTTATTTCCTTTATTTATTTTGTGTGTGCTGGAAATCCAACCTAGGGCATTGTGAATTTTAGGCGAACACATGCCCATAATTCCAGCCACTCTGGAGGCTGATGCAGAAAGATCTAGAATTTGAGGCCAACCTGAGCAAATTACCTGTCTCTAAAAATAAAACCAAGGAAAATAAATAAACAAATAAAAACAAGGACTAGGAGTGTAACTCAGTGGTAGAGCTGCTTGCCTAGCAATACATGAAGCTCTGATTTCAGTCCTCAAAACAGCAACAACAAAAAAGAGAGGCAGAGAGAGAATTTATTCTTAAGTACCATTTGGAGAAAAAATATTGATAAGATTATGGTTATCAAATAGCCAGTAAAATAAATTGTAAAGCAAAGACATGGTGTAGTATGATGAAATTAATTATAAATATAAGAGACCATGAAAAAGTATAATTCTTGAACCAATGGTAAACCCTATGTTAACTATTATCTAATGAGAACTATGAGCAAGTATCAAAAGGTCTTACTTTGGCAGATCTGACGAAATATACAGACCTTATATAGTATACATAATATATAGATGTAACATATGATTAGAATCAGAACTAACACACATGAAAAATTAGTGGTCACTGCTAAATTCTTTCATTGTGATTGTGAATGTAACTTATAGTAGGCCCAGCAACAGAGATTTAAAAATATATTCTAGCTATGTGCAGTGACTCATGTCTCTAATCCCAGTGACTCCGGAGGATGAAGCAGAATGATCACAAGTTCAAGGCCAGTCTACACAATTTAGCAAGACCCTATCTCAAAATAAATAGAAAGGGGCTGGGGGTATAACTCAGTGGTACAGCATCCTTGGGTTAAATCTTCAGTACCATAAAAATAAATAAGGCAAATAAATGAACAAATAGGACTGAGGATATAGCTAAGTGATAAAATTCCTTTGGGTTCAATACCCAGTATAAAAAATAAATTATATATTCATAGATCTGGAAATGTATGTAGGCTCAGTGGGTCCTGGATTCAAGCTCTAGTATCAAAATATAAAATAAAATAAAAATACAATCTGGGGAATAAAAGGCAAGAAAACACAATCATAGTGCCAGGAGATTTGATGCCACAGTAGAAACACAAACAAAATACAACTGGTATACAAAGCAAGAGCAATAATGATACAGAGAAAAGAAAAATTAGTGTAATTTAGATTAGTCATATAGGCTTAATTTACAAAATAAACAAAACCAGGCAATGTAGTATCATGTTTTTATTGCCTGATGTCTTTTTCAGGAATTTTTATAATATTTTTCTATTTTACAAAATGATATTACAAACCACACAAAGCTGTTTATAAATCATATGTGAGTATGCCAAGGGTTTCTCTTCATATTGTAGTGTGCTAATTATAAACTACATTCAAAGCCAGTCATATTTGAACAAATAAGATAACTAGTTTGTTTATTGTATTGTACAGAAATGGCTTATAGGAATAATTAATACTTTCTAAACATACAGATTAAAATTTTTCATTAAATGTAATATTAGTTTTGATTTTTTTAACACTTTTTCTTTTGTTATTTCTTACTAAGGGTCAACTGTATTTGTTGGTAACAGACCAGGGATTTCTTACTGAAGAAAAAGTTGTTTGGGAAAGCCTGCACAATGTAGATGGTGATGGAAATTTCTGTGACTCAGAATTTCATCTTCGGCCTCCTTCAGATCCTGAAACTGTATACAAAGGACAACAAGATCAAATAGATCAGGTAAGCTTATTTTGCCTTTTTTCATATTGTTTAAAATATTCTTTTCAAATGTCAATTTGGTTATCCAAATATTTTGAATTAGATTCATTCTTAATTTCTTTGTGAGGTTTTCCTGATACTTCCTAAATAGGTAAGTGATCATTCTATATGTACATTAATTTTACACTTTGGCACAGAAGGCTTGATCATATTAAAATGTGAAGGTCATGATAAGGAGTTTGAATTTATTCCAATTGCAGTAAGGAAGCCATGCCAATTATTAAATATGAAAGTGACATGGTCTACTGAATTTTTGTTTTATTATTTTGTACTGGGGATTGAACTCAGGGGGACTTTACCACTAAACTACATCCCCAGTCTTTTATATTTTTTATTTTGGGTCTTACTAAATTGCTGAGGGTCTCACTGAATTGCCTATACTTGGCCTTGAACTTTCCACCCTCCTGACTCAGCCTCCTGAATTACTGGGATTACAGGCTTGCTGCACTGTGCCTGACCTGGGTATTTTCACATTTTTAAGAAACAGAGGATGCGTAGGAAGGACAGGGATGTAAATAGAGACCAACAACTCAAGCGAGAAGAAATGAAGAGATTAAGCACATATTTGAAACATATTTTGACTAATCAGGGCAGAAAAGAGGGACTCTAGAAGATAGCATATACTGGGCAAAGAGTAGTTAGGTTTTCTAAGAAAAGGATGAGCAGACACAGCAGAGGAGCCCTAAGCAATAAAACTTTCATTTAGAACTGAAACAAGATTTTTGCCTGCTATAGATGGGCAGTTTTGGAGCTAAAGTGTGTTTATTACTTAAAATATGACAATGATATTAATTCTTCCCTGCTGAGGCATAAATATGGTTATGTTAAACTATGAACGTAAATTTTGATAATAACAATTTAAGTGCATAGAGACTGTTCACTTAGCTAATAGTCAATGAGAAGATGTATTACTGGAACTATAACTAGGTCCTGCAGATACAAAGATAAATCATAGCCAAGTATGGTGTCGCTTGCCTGTAATCCCAGTGACTTGGGAGTCTAAGGCAGGAAGATTGCAAATTCGAGTCCAGCCTGGGCAACTTAGCAAGACCCTGACTCAAAATAAAGAATAAAAAGTGCTGAGGATGTAGCTGAGTGGTACAGTGCCCATGGGTTCAAACTCCAGTGCATTTTAAAAAAAAAAAATGGTGGGGCTGGGGTTGTGGCTCAGTGGTAGAGCACTTGCCTAGCATGTGAGAGGCACTGGGTTCGATTCTCAGCACCACAATAAATGAATAAATGAATAAAGGTCCATCAATAACTAATAAAATTTTTTTAAAAAATCATTCAGTCCTGTCCTCAAAGGTGCTACAATAGCAGAGGGAGCAGAAATTGAACCAACTATTATTGTATATTAAGTTCTATAAGAGTAATTTGAATAGCAAGCTATGATGCATAGAAGAATATTTTATTTCAACCAATAACTTCTACGTATATATTCTTCAATAAATATATAATATATTTAGATAAGTATATAATTATGAAAAAATGTTTATTTGGAAAAAAAGAATACTTGATTTCAACAAATGTTAATCTTCCTAGGACTTTTGACTTTTTTTTTTTTAATAGCTTTGATAGTAAATGTACTCATTTTCCTTCAGATGCCATAAAGAATTATATAGCCTCCATATAGAGGCTTAAGTAATAAAGAGAAATGTGTGAAATTTTTGTAACAAATATTATGTAAAAATTAATGGAGCAGAGGAAATGAATTTGTAAGGTGTTGTGATTAGTGTCTGTGGAAATAGCAAGAAGGGAGATTCAAAACTATGCGACTTGGTAAAGAGCAAGTTGGAAACTGAAAAAATTTTGAAGGACAAACCCTTAATATTAGTAAGATACTCACTCATGAGTAAGTAGTATAAGTTCTTCATAGGAATGACCTTCTACATGTCCTCTAAGTTACTTAAATTCTCATTTTTGAGGGTAGATGATAGGTGTACAAAATAAGTCAGTTTTCATTCAGCGCAAAGTGGGTTTTAAGTCAGATAATAAAACTTTTTTTTTTTTTTTAATACTGGGGATAGAACTCAGGGCACTCCATCACTGAGCCACCTCCCTAGCCCTTCTTTATATTTTATTTAGAGTCAGGGTCTCATTGAGTTGCTTAGAGACTTGCTGAGTTGAACTTTTGATCCTCCTGCCTCTGTCTCCTGAGTCATTGGGATTATAGGCATGCACCACCACATCCAGCTTTTAGGGTTTTTAAAAAAGATTTTTTTATGACATTAAATGGAAAAGAAAATGTTGTAATAGAGGTGGGAGATGTTGAGTTTGTATGTGAACGTAGAAAAATATGGGGTTAATATATACTGTTTATATATATGTATGTATCTATATACTGTTAACAATAGTTATCTCTAATAATATTTTGGCCACATAAAATTTTCTTATCATTTTTTGAAATTGCTAAATGCATGTGTTCCTTTTGAAAATAGCGGAGTTTTCTTTTTTCTTTCTTTCTTTTTTTTTTTTTTTTTAAGATCTTTTCTATGTACTCCCCAAAGAACCCCAAACCCTGCATTTTTTTTTTTTTAAGAGAGAGAGAATTTTTTAACATTTATTTTTTAGTTATCAGCGGACACAACATCTTTGTTTGTATGTGGTGCTGAGGATCGAACCCGGGCCACACGCATGCCAGGCGAGCGCGCTACCGCTTGAGCCACATTCCCAGCCCCTTTCTTCCTTTCTTTCTGTCTTTCTTCCTTTCTGTCTTTCTTCCTTTCTTTCTTTTCTTTTCTTTCTTTTTTTTTTTTTTTTCCGGTACTGGGAATTGAACTCAGGGGCACTCAACCACTGAGCCACATCCCTAGTCCTATTTTTGCATTTTATTTAGAGACAGGGTCTCATTGAGTTGCTCAGCACCTTAGCCTCCCAAGCCACTGGGATTACAGGCATGTGCCACCGCTCCTGTCTCTTTTTATTTAAAGCTTTCTTGAGTATCTTTCTAAAAATATTTTTTAGTTGTAGATGGACACAATGCCTTTATTTTATTTACTTATTGTTTTGTGGTGCTGAGGATCGAACCCTGTACCCCACATGTGCTAGGCAAGCACTCTACCACTGAGCCACAACCCCAGCCCTTTTGAATATCTTATTTATCGCTTCTAGAAAGAATTTCAAATGAGTTCCTAAAATATTTTAAACAATGATGATATCACTGAAATAAGTGCTTAGCTCCCCAAAGGAAATACTTGGCAATATAACTCATTTTAATATTTAAACTCTTGATGTTTTTTTTTTTTTTATTGGTGCATTATAGTTGTACATAGTCTGATAGGTTTTTCTTTTTTAAAGCCATTCTCAGAGCTTCATGAACACAACATCTATATTCATATTTATTAGTTCTTGAGTGAAATCTCAAAACTAAAAATGGTTATAATTTAATTCCTTAGGACTATCTTATGGCATTATCTCTACAACAAGAACAGCAGAGTCAAGAGATGAATTGGGAACAAATCCCAGAAGGAATCAGTGATTTGGAACTAGCAAAGAAACTTCAAGAGGAAGAAGACAGACGGGCTTCTCAGTACTACCAGGAACAAGAACAAGCAGCAGCAGCTGCTGCTGCTGCTACTACTACTGCTAATACACAGGCCCAGGTAAAAACAGCCTTGTGATTCTTACTGGGGATATAGCTCAGTTGGTAGAGTACCAGCCTCGCATGCACAAGCCTTGGGTTCAATCCCCAGAACCACCAAAAAAAAAACAAACCAAAAAAAAATTTATTGCGATTCTTAGATATAATCTTCACTTTAGCAATAAAAAAGTCTCTGCTTGAGGTAATAAAAAAAAAAAGTTAATTAGGAACTGACTTTTGAGTTATGTTAGCATCTTAGTACCCATGGATTTTTTGACATTGTCCTAAATTTGTGGTTATCCTAATAATTTCTTATGTATAATTATTTTTCTGGAGATTCTGAATGCAAGATTTTTTTAAACTTATTTTTTAGTTCTTTACAGCTGAAACAAAACAAAACAAAAACCAGAAACCATTTGCTTTCTGTGAGGTAAATGTAGTCTGAGCTATTACTAGAACCAGATAGTTGTTGATTTACATTTCCTGCTTATTTTTTCTCTTCCTAATTGCAATACCCTGGACAATAACTCTCTTAACCTCATTTTCCTTCTCTGTGAAATAAAAGATAATACTCTTAGATTCTGGTGAAGAATTTAAAATGTTAGCACTTAACCCAGTGTCTATGACATATACTAAGTATTCAGTGTAAGTCAGCACATTTCTACTCCTCACTCCCTCAGTTAATATTTAAGCACTGAAAATAAGATGATTATGTGGGTTTCTAGATGTTAAATCTTATTTTATTCAATCAAAAAAGTACTCTCCTTCTTTTATATTATCTGTACCATGTCAGGACTATTCCTTTTGATCAGGGTATATAAGAAAGCAAGATGGCCTTTAAGGTCTGATGAAACTAAATATAGAATTCTTCATTAGAATAAGTGTAAAATTGGGCCAGGTTGTGGCTCAGTGGTAGAGTGCTTGCCATAGCATGCATGAGGCACTGGGTTCAATCCCCAGCACCACATAAAAAATACTAAATAAAGGTATTGTGTTCATCTACAACTTTAAAAAGTTCAAAAAAAAAAAAAAGTGTAAAATTTATTTCTAGATCAAATATTGAGTACCCCAATCTTAATAACTAAATCCTGTCATGTTATAATTAGTTTTCTTATTTCAGAGACTATACTTATTCACACTCAGTTCTCACGATTTGTTTTTTTCCTTTTAAAATCTGTTTTAGTATTTAATGAAGTATTGAAGAACTATTTTATTTAACCAAAAGGCTAATGTATTCTTATAGCTCTTAAATTAGAAACTTATGTGTTAGGAATTCCATTTATTTGGAATAATACATTAATTATATCTATCCAGAATGGTATATTAACCATGTTACAGATACCCCGTAATATAACAAATTTGCGTACCAGGATGTTCTTTTCCCTTTGATGATGCCCTTCACTCTTGTGGCTATTCTTTCTAGATAACTGTGATAAAGCGCCTTAGAACAGTTGAAATAATTTCTTGCTGTGTGTTTTTCTTAAAGCTGGGCCAGCCGGCACAAGCCTCTCCATCAAGTGGAAGACAATCTGGGAATAGCGAACGGAAACGAAAGGAACCTCGAGAAAAAGATAAAGAAAAGGAAAAGGAAAAGAATAGCTGTGTCATTTTGTAACAAGTACTAGATTCTGTTGGAATCACCTATATGTGTTGAGAAACAAGACCACATGAGGAAAGGAAGAAAAACCGATAATAGATAATACCGTCTGTGCCTGATTTCCCATTGGATTTTGTTCATGTTTTTCAGGGGAAAGGTTGTTACTTTGTTACAATCAGACTTCTTGAAGTCACACAATATACTCTTTATGAGCTGGAGTTTCATGTTACAAGTTGGAAATGCTGTGTTGTCATTCATGAAGAATACTGCACTTGTAGCCAAATAAGCAAATCACAGCGAATTTTGTGTCATAGTGACATTCATAATTCATATCAGTTAGTAAGCTATTTCATCTTCTAACAATGAATGGAGGTATTTGATTTAGTCTGATTCCTTCCTGAAATCTAAGTATTAGCACAATAGTTTCTGAAATTTTTGCAACCTTAAATTATGATCTAATCCATGAGAAACCAGGGGTTTAATATGGAATTTAAAAAGAAAAAAAAATAAATAACAGGAATAAATAATCCTTAATTGTATATTGAACTAGTTCAGCCCTTGAACAGCTTTACCTTTCTTTAGTAATGTACATTTTAGATATTAAGAACAAATAATGGAGCTTGGATTTAATTTAGATAGAAAAAAAATAAAGATTTGTATTTCTTTTCCAATAGCAAAAAAAAAAAAAAAATTATATAACACTAATACTTACAACCTGTCCAAATCACATATTAATGACTTAATAGTGTTGTGAAATTTTGAGGAATTTTTAAGTCGTTAAGTAGGTAATCTGGACCATAGTTACTATTTATTAACCATGTGACAAGTAAGTTTAAGGAGGAAACCACAGTGGATGCTAGGCCTTGTAAATATGAGAGTGTAGGAAAGTAGATAGTTCAGTGTCTACCTTTTTTTAGAATTACCTTGAACCTTAAATTTTAAATCATGTTTATTACTAGAAAATTAAATTATTAAAACCAACAAAAACAGCACATTTCTATAAGAAGTAAAAGATAATCTCTGAGTCTAATGAAAAGACATTGATAAAAATCAGAGTAGATAAGAGTTTAGAGGAATTTATGTAAAAGCAAGCAGATTTTTTAACTTATGAGAACCAAATAAACATAAAACATAGTGTTTATAGAATTCAGAAAAAAATATTTATTTAACTTTATTATGAGGCAACACATATTTTCCTGTATTTCTAGATATAGTTTGGACAACTATCCTTAATAGTCCTTTTTATATGCTTTATATTTAAAGTTTGTTTTTAGTCATTTTTGAAAAAAAAAAAATGCTGCTGCAAGTAGTATATAATTTACATTCTAAGCCTCAAAAAATGTGTTATTTAGGAACATCATAACATGACCTGAGCATCCACTTGGAGAGTATTTCTTGTGGTTTGGGGTGACAAAATTTTGACTACAAAAAAAAGTGATCTAGAATTTTTTTTTTTTAAGTTATATCATTAACTTTCTCTGTGATCCAAAACCAGTTATAGAATGACTCTATATGTAAAAAGTAAAGTCTTATTTATGGAAGGAATTATTCTAAGGGGAAATAAATCCAGGGCCAAGCATCTTTTACATCCTTCTATTTTGCATGTCTGTTTGTGTTACATAATTTGTTATTTCTTCAGATTTCCTATTCTAGAATGATAAATCATCAGAGAACCTGTTTGGGGTATAAAACTTGGATACAAAATATTTGGTGAGTCTCTTGATTGTAACCCAGAATATCTGGACATTGGTAAAGTAATCAGATATACTATAGAACTCTCCATTGGCTTAAACAGGTTGATCTTAATCTGAGTTTACTCTTGATATCATTCTGTTGGTTGAAGGAGAAAACTCAAACCTCAAAGTTTGTTCTTCTCAGAATAAATAGTAGTGACAGTGCATTATATTTTAATAAAAAAAAAACTTGATAATTTACAAAAGTATATTTGAGGCATATTTTTCCATAATTATATACTTAGCTATTTATTACCCTTGAAGAATATATGTGTAGAAGTTATTTTTCTGTTGTTTGTTCCTATATTCTTAATTTGTTCCAAAGATAATACTGCCATTCAGCATTCCCTCTAGAAGAAAAAAAAAAAAATCACTCAAAACCAGCAATGCTGCTATCAGATAAGTAGATGTCAATGTGTACTTACGAGAAAAAATTTTTAAAAATGCAGTGTGTTTGTTAATTCAGTCTTTTTCTATGTAATATTTACAAATCAAACTTTATTACATTCCTGGAATTCAGTTTGATATACCAATAGTAATAATGATTAAATATTTACTTTGATTACTGTGAGGGAAAATTAAATGTTCAATTCTATTAAAACAAACTTGTCAAAGAAACTGCTCTCCTTGCAAATATAACCTTAAAGGTTACAAAGAATCTAGAGCAATTGTGTCTTTATTTTCTTTTATTTTGCTCCAGGTAACAAATTATACATTCAGGCATTTCATTGCTGGTTTGCATTCAGAAGAATTTGATGTTAGTATTTTAAAGCAGTTTTTTTCCACAATATTTTTTAATACTTGAAATTGTTACATATATACTGCTACCAGAAATTAGAATTTAAACCTTTTTGATTTTAATATTTATAGACTAGATCATGGGCACATTTGAATCAACCAAATCACTGTTAGAGCTAGTAAAAGAGGCAGATGAATGAATGGCTGTGGTCACCATTTTTTCCTCTTGCTTTTGAAAAGAGTATTCCTTACATTTTTATTAACAATATGAGCATTTTCTTGTCAAATCCCATTGCATCAACAATGCTGTGATTTACAGTAGTTTACTGATATTTACAAGCACTCATTGCATGTGCACATGTATGTGTATTTCTGAAGCAAGACAGCTTCTCGGGCTGGGGATGTGGCTCAAGCCGCAGCGCGCTTGCCTGGCATGTGTGCGGCCAGGGTTCGATCCTCAGCACCACATACAAACAAAGATGTTGTGTCCGCCGAAAACTAAAAAAATAAATAAATATTAAAATTTAAAAAAAAAAAAAAGACAGCTTCTCAAAGCAATTTGGGAACTTTCCCTCAAATTTTAAAATCACCATTTTAAGAATATTTACACACCTGGACTGGGAATATGGCTCTACAGACTCTCTATAGACTGGGAATATAATGTTGGAACATGCATGAGGACTGGGGTTCAATCCCCTGCACTACAACAAAAAAGGAAAAGAAAAAATATACACACACGGACATAGACTGAACAGGATAGTATAAAGCAACTAAAATTGACATTAGTTATATGCCCATCCAGTGTACTTAGGTAAAGTAACTTACATGTTTCAAGGTCAAGTTAGTATTTGAATGAAGCAGAGATTTAAATTTAGGATTAGCTTTTGGAATGTATCTTGTTTTTATTGTCTTATATTTCTTGCACTTATTTGCTTATCCCATATTATGTTTTGATTTCTTCCTCATACATCTTGATCTTGGCTTAACAAAGCAAGTAAATATCAGAGATTAACTGACTGAACTCAACATTAACTATTTTGTACTTACACAAAACCTTCTTAGTATTTTGTTTTCAATGAAAAACAAACTAAGTTAACTTAAGACATAAGAAATCTTGAGAGGAAAGGTTAGAAGGCAAACATTTAAGGAAAGAATAGTTGTAGTCCCTACATTAATGTTGGCATATGCAGCAGATAGTTGTAAAATCCTGCTGAAGAAAAATTAAGGCAAGAATTTTCAGAATTGCCCTCAAAACATCTCATTTATTTAAATTTCCTTTTAAAAATCAGTTTTGTAGTTTTGCTTAACGTTCTTATTCATTGTATCAGTTATTTTAAAATATGATGGAAAGCTTATAGGTTTTACCTATCACAGTTCTTAGGCATGCTGGAAACTTACTAATGTTTAATAAAATAATCTGAAGGCCCTAAAGAGAGTCCAAAATTTTGTATTTTAAGGAACTGGATATGTAGAATTCTGGATCATTTTGTATTTAAAAATCTAACTTTTTGTCTTGCCTTGGGCAAAGTCTCTGTGCCTCAGTTTACTCTTTAAATATGTAGAGAATGTCCTTTCTCACTCTCCTTCTCTCACTTTCTCACTCTCTTCTTTGTGCTTTACACTCCTGAATAAAGGGCATAGTATAAGCACAAAATATTACTTAAATTATCACAAATATTACACATCTTGGTTCTTGGATGTGCAGACTTTTTCCAATGACAAGTCCTTTTTTAAAAATACTGTCAAAATTTGTTGAATTATCTTGTCTTTGAGTATCGCATCATGTTTTCAAAATGTATTTTGCAGTTGCTTTCCTGTTCTGTAGACTAGTGTCAAAATCAAGAGTATTTGGGAACTATAAAAAGCATTTTAAAACCTATTTTTTTCCAATATTTTTCACAGATCTAAATGTTTAGATTATCTTTGATTTTTCCTCTGTGTTATAAAATGCTGTCACATTGCTAATACATATAAAAGTTGTTTGCATGGGTGAAATTGATTTAGATCTTTCAAATACTTTCATTTTAGGGATATTGAAGTTACTTGTGTTTTTTTAGTGTAATATGTAATTTGAGAATGTGCAATTAAATTCATTCTGAAAGTGAAAATAGTAAAGAAACTCATTGGAATTTTAGAGTACTTAGTTTCTCTGATAGTTCAGTGTCTTTTGTTACTGATGTTCAACACTTCTAAAACTATTAGGAAAATATTATGAGGAATTGAAGTTATTTTTCTCAGGTAACAGTTTAAAAGATACTAAATATTAAAATTAAAGGCTTCCTGAACAAAATATATTGCAAAATATAAGATGAATGTGAGGGCAAATTCATGTTGCTAGAACTTATTTTGATGATCTATGTAAATTTTAATTCATGCATGTCTCTTAGTCTTAATGTCTTTGCCATTAGAAAATAGAATTTAATAAACTGTTATATACATATATATTTTTACATGAAGGATTCTAGTTTCTAATTTCTTCTGATCTCAAGAAAATGTTTAAAAAAAAACAAAACGGTAAAATTTTCAAACTCTTGCCTCAAGTTCAGCTTTGTCCTGTTGTTCTGAGAAAGGAAGAAATTTAGACTTGTCTAACTAGGAGATATTTTTTAGGGCATGGTACCATCCCAGGTAGGGTGTTAAAATACTATGGCATAAATATAAAATCCAAGCTTTGAACTACAGTGGATTTAAACAATAAAAAAAGAAAATTCTACAGTAAATCTTCTACTTCACCTGATATTCTAAGAATTTCTTTAAACCAGTTAATTCGTCACTGGTAGCTTTACAAACTTTATACCCATGAGCACTGTCCTTTCAGAGACAAGGATGCCTTATAAATAAGAGGAGCGCAAAACAAAATTCTTTGGAAGGTGATCCTTTGGATAAAGTAGTTATTTTACAGTTTTAAAAAGAAAATCATGAAACTGAAATGCCCATTTAAATTCACAAATCAAAACCAATCCAGTTGTGCATTGTAGTTGAAGTAACTTACAAAGCAATTATAACTAACACAATGTGTTTTAAGACTGAGATTGGTATTTAATCTTTGAAGATTGTCTCAATTTTGTCAATGTTTTTGTTATTCTTTTTTACCTATTGTATGAAGTAACCATTTTTCAGACTACATAGAATATCTTAGCTTTGTAGATTTTTTTTTTTTAATGGGGATTTGAAAAGCCTCCATTGGCTTTTGTTTTGCTGTTTTCCTCAATAAAATGACAACTATTGTCAAAGATCCACATATAACAAGTAAGACAATACGACAGAAGATTGGTGTATGATTACATTCATAGTAGCAAAATGGATTATCTTTGCCTATTAAACTTTAGAGGTACTCCAAAAGTCATTTCCTAATGCTAGCTCATGTGAATCTTTTTTCTTGAATTGTGCAGAATAATTGAATTGAAAAATATTTAAGGGAATAGCAAGTGAAATGGAGTAATGACTGAAGAAAAGTTGTAATCTTGAAATATAGCAAAAAAGAGAAACAAGTTTTCTTCTTCCACTTTAGTGTTGGACTAATTGGGTCAAAAATTTGTTATGAAGGCCTAAGGGTATGGCACATGGTAGAGCACTTACCTACCATGCACAAGGTCCTGGGTACAATCTCCAGTACCTCCACCAAAAAAAAAAAAATTACCATGAGGAGGAGCTGGTAGTAGATCAGTGGTAGAGCACTTGCCTACCATGCACAAGGCCCTGGGTTCATCCCTAGTATCCCCAGTACCACACACACACACAAATATATATATATATAATTTGCTTTGACATACAGATTTTCTTTGTGCCAGGCTAAAATTGGCCAGTTGAAAAAGAGTTCCTTCTCAAAGAGTTTAAATATACATATTATGTTTGAGTGCCTTTTTTCCTCCTCCTTTCCCTTTCTATCTTAACACTTTTTCTGCTTCTGAAATAATTCATCTAAGCCTGGCCCAGGGCACACACGTATAATCCCAGCTAATCTGGAGGCTGAGGTAGGAGAATCACAAATTAAAGGCCTGTATGGCAATTAGCAAGACCTTGACTCAAAAAAAGGGATGGGGATGTAGCTCAGTGGTAGAACATCCCTGGATCCAATTTCCAGCACCAATAAATAAGTAAATTTGTTTTGCTTTAATTCCAATTCAATAATAATAATAACCCTAGAAATTAATAGGAAAGAGCATCAAAATACATTGTTTGAATAAGGACACCTAAATGCATTTACCCAGCTTAGTGTTGAACTGATTTCTATGAAATAAATGTATTGTTTTCAATGCTAATTATGCTAAAACTATTTAACTATGTTTTAACAAGTTTCAAAACTTCCATTTTTAGATGATACTCCTAAAAAAGGCATATTGTTTAGGTGGGAAAGTATAAAATATTTATGACAGAATTATTCAGTATTATTCAACATTTAATTTCATGTCTGTTGTTGTACCACAAGTGTAGTGTTGTTGTTGGATTAAAATGTTGGGTGTTTTTGTTATTATGCTTAAAACTGTAACCAGTGAATAACACCTGTAGTATTTTTTATTATAGATTATATTTTATTTCAATAAACTTTGATATTTAGACCAAACAGTCTCTGCTGTGTATATTCATCTTATTAAGCTTGGAAGAATGGGGAGAGAAAGAGCTGGCTTATTGATTCGAATTTACCTGAGTTATTCCTTAGAATTCTTGGACCAGTATTTGAAAAGTACAAGAGGTAGTAAATAAAGAAACAGTGGTGCACCATATAATACATAATACTTCAGGTAACTGTGAGCCTTTCAAAGACAGGGATAATATCTTTTTCATTTTAATTTTCATGGTCTTTGGCACTTAGAACTCAAATATCTGTATTATGTAGTTATACTTGCCTGTGCTTTACATAGTAAGATAATTAAGTAGGGATATTAGTTTCTCCTTTTACATAAAAGTTATATAGATAGTATTCAGATCTTTAGTCCATAAGGCCCCTTCTGATTTTCCCTGGTTATCATCATGTCACCTTGTAGAGCCAATGGGAGAATAGTTAGAGAACAGAATCCTTAGTAAAAATGTAGCAAGCAGAATTTTTCTTTCCATTTTGTGCCAATCTTGTGGAGTCTCTACTCACTTTATATTATTCTATGAAGTAGGCATTTCATTTGTTGGAACTGTGATCTGAGACCAAGATGTCTGATCCAAGAGCCTGTACAAGCAAATTTATCTGCAAGGATTCAAATAAGTCTAGGCCATATCTATGTTCAAATTCTAACTCTGGACTTTTTAATTTGTATCTGTTTCATATTCTACAGGAATGTTCCAATTTAAGCCTACAGCTAGGTGTGGTGGCATGTGACTATAGTCCTGACTGCTGTGGAGGCTGAGGCAGGAGGCTCAGAAGTTCAAAGCCAGACTGAGCAAATTAGCAAAACCCTATCTCAAAACTTTAAAGTGTTGAGGATGTAGCTTAGTGGTAGAGCACCCCTGGGTTCAAACTCAGTGTCACACACAAAAGAAGAAATAAAATCCTTCTGTTATTTTTGTTGAGCTTGTATTAAATCTATAGATCAATTTGGAGATAATAATTAACATTTTAATATTTAATCTCTTGGGGCTGGGGATGTGGCTCAAGCGGTAGCGCGCTCGCCTGGCATGTGTGCAGCCCGGGTTCGATCCTCAGCACCACATACAAACAAAGATGTTGTGCCCGCCAATAACTAAAAAAAAAATAAATAAATATTTAAAAAAATAGTAATAATAATATTTAATCTCAATCCAATGAATATGATTATAAATTAATTTCATCAAAATTTAAAATGTTTGGGGTTGGGTATTAAGATCAATAAAATGTTGGGATTGGGTAGAGCGTTGCCTGGCATATACAAGGTCCTGGGTTCAATCCCCAGCACTACACACACACACATACACACAGAAATTATAATGTTTATACTCCTAAAGACACCTAAGAAACTGAAAAGGCAAACTATGAACTGAAAGAAAAATTTGTAACATGTTTGTTTAAAAATGCTTTATATCAGCATACAATGAACTCTTAAAATTAATATGAAGGAAAAACAAAAAATGGCCAAAGTGTGACAAATATGCACATGAAAAGATGATCTGCATCTTCAGTCTTTAGTGAAATACAAACTAGATCCACAACAAAATATAATCTACCAGAATAGCTAAAAAAAGATCAATAATAACCAAGTGTCAGTTAAAATGTTAAACAACTGGAACTTTCTTACATTGCTGATGTGGATATAAAATGACACGACTACTTTGGAAAACAATTTAGCAGTTTCTTTAAAAGTTAAATAGTGTCTCATGCCTATAATCTCAACTACTTGGGAGGTTGAGGCAGAAGAATCACTGGAACCCAGAAGTTTAAGGCCAGCCTGAGCAACAGAAAAAAGGTAAACATTGGGGCTAGGGATGTAGTTTGGTGGGTGAATATGTGCTTAGCATGTATGAGGCCCTGGGTTCAATCCCCAGCACCTTCTCCCTCCAGAAAAAAAGAAAAGTTAAACATATACCTGCCATACAGTCCATTATTTCACTCTCATTTACCCAAGAAAAATAAAAGCATATGGGCACACAAAAGACTTATACACAAATTCAGAACCATTTCATTGGAAAGAACCTTAAACTGAAAGTAACCCAGATGTTCACTTCCAGGTGAATGCATGACACCAAATTGTGGTTCATCCATACAGGGTGGAGTGTTACTCATCAATTGAGCTGTCAATACCGGCAACAATTGGGAGGAATCTCAAAATAAACATGGTGAACTCAAAAGGCCAGATAAAAAATGAGTGCATTCATATGGTTCAAGTTTCATTAAATTCAAGAAAATGCAAACAAAGCTATGGGACATAAAGTAGATCAAAAAGATATATAAGGAAGCTTTTGAAAATGAGAGGTATGTTTAATTATTATGGTCTCATCAGCATGTGTTAGTGATAATCAAAACTTATCAAAATGCTTTATGCAGCTTATTATATGTCAACTATACCTCAATAAAGTCATTTTAAAGACTTTTTCTAAAATTACAAGACAAACTTTTGTTTCTGACCCTGATGGAATAACAAGGGTCGACGGTTGTCCCACTACAAAGAACTAGAAGTTTGGGCAAAACACACGAAAGAACTGTTTTCAAACAATGAATACCAGAGAGTACAAAACTATTATTCCTAAGGATGAAGAAATAAGTGAAGTTAACTCTATGGTTGCTCAATCTTTTTGCTTGGAAATATCTTGCTAATGGTGTGTGTAGGGGATTAAACACAGATCCCACCATGCTGAGAATGAAGAGAATTGGAGTTCACAGGGAAGCAGTTGGGGGTTAAGAAAGTTTCACAGAGGCAGAAGCTAAGCAGAAAAAGAACCTCAAGCAAGTCCCTGTTAGCCTTTGTTTAGTATTGTGGGCAGTAATTGTAGGCAGATAGGGCATTGCTGGAAGAAATAGGTTTACAGGTGGTGTTGAAGCCAGATTTAAAATTAGGCAGTCAGTATAGTTAGGTAAATCAAGTCTAATATCTAGTGAAATCTAAAATGGAGGCCATGTTGAGAATAAATTTCCGGAGAAGTTGAGCAACTCTTGAAATGTTAATGAAGTCCCAAGAAAAGCCCGAGGCCCAAAGTCCATCCCAAAGAAATGTTAATGAACAGCCCCAGCAGATTTGAAGATAGCCCATCCCAAAGAAGTGTTAATGAAGTCCTTCCTGCCCAGATTACTTCTTTGGCCCACCTGTGTCCCACCCCTCGGGCCCTCCCATCACCGAAAACCATAAAATGGAGAGACAACCGCACTTCCACGAATTCCATCTCTTGGGTCCCCTTCTTCCTCCGGGAGAAGTCTTTTCTGCTGTCCTTTAATAAACTTGTAATTTTCCACTCTGACCTTGCCTCAGTGTGCTTCTCTGGTGTTATTCTTCAACATTGGGGAAGCAAGGACTCGTCACCGGTCAAAGCGGTAACAGTATGCCTTTGGAGTCCATATTTTGTCCCCGGTGAGCAGAGTGCTATCTTACCCTGCTTCCTGAATGTCATGTCCCCAGCCACTTTCCTCTACACCCTTACAGCATTATGTTCTGCCTCACTCCAGCCCAGAACTATGAAGTTTCTCATTGTGGATACAGCAGCCAAGATGAACTTTTCCTCCTCTAAGTTGTTCTTGTCACTCATTTTTGTCACAGCAAAAAAAAAAAAAAAAAAAAAAAAGCTGATTAAAACATTCATGCCCTGAGACCTGCAGGGGTATGGTGGTTGAAAGCTTAGAGAACAATAGCCAATCTAAATGAGGCCTTTGGAGCAAGGGACATTCACCCTGTCCCTGCACCTTACCCTACCCCCCACACTTTCACCCTCAGAATACCTACTGAAGCTACTAAATTGTTTAAATAATGCAAAACTCCTCAGCACTGTGCTTGACTTAGTGCTGCTGTGTAGCAATATGAGCACGTGGATCAATCACTATTGACTGAAACCCAAGTCACAGGACAGGCTTTCTTATTCCAAGGCAAAATTCCTGTAGCCCTCAACTCTAAGCCCAGGTCCTCACATGTGCTAGGCAAGTGCTCTGCCGCTGAACTACAGCCCCAGCCCCACTTCTCCATTTGATGGTCAAATTTTGGTTGTTCTTAAACCTGGAAAGAATGCATGACCCCTTCCCATGGATCGTGCAAACTTCAAACTGAGGTCCTATTCACTAAAACTGCCATGCTAATACTCAGCATTATTGAAATTACTAACTCCATCCAATCAGAAGCTGGTAAATAATTCACTAGTATAGATTTGGCTAATATATTCAGTTCAATGCATATTTACACAGCTTCTCAGCCACAGTTTTCCTTTGTTTTTGAAGAGACACAATACAGTTTTACTAGGCTACCCACGGGGAATAGCTTGGCCATCACATATTGTCTGCAGACAGTGCTTTAACTGCATCCATCTTTCTCCAGTAGCTCAAGTAGGACACTATACTGAAAATTCCCTTCTCTGAGGAGTCATGTGCAGTAAGGATATTCAAATCCAACATCATTTAGAACTTCTTGTGTTCTGCCAGCAACATAATCCTCATTAAGTTTTTCTTAATCTCACTGATGCTGCTATTTATAAGTCAACCCACCCCTTAAATGGGGTCCCCTCCAACGAAAGCTTCCAGAATCTATGCAAGTTAAAGCCAGAAGTCATTCCTTTTAGTACCTTCAGAGACTCCTGACTACAGTGGCTCTGGCAACTTCCTTTCAACCTCCTGAAGTCTCGGAACCACTCCCAAGGCCAAAAGTTGCCCATAAACTGTTTTCTCAGGCTGTGCTGAGAGGTAAACAAATTGCTCACCACCCATGAGGACAGCCCAGAAACAGAACCTACCACAGACTCTGAGCCTATGACTCTCATTACTGCCCATTTTTTCGTGGGTCATGGAAATATTGTCCCATAGTGCAGATGACTGCTGAGGCCTTCTTGATACAGGATGGATCCAAATCTGGGCTCTCTGTAGAAGAGAGTGACTCCCTTGTCCCTGATCCCTTGCCAAATGTCACTCTTCCTCTAGGCCCCTTGGTTACCTGGGAAGCCCCTTGGGAATAACAGTGGAAGCTCACA